CTTTCCCTCGATTGTACAATAATATAGCCTCTATATTTATGTGAAAAACAAACAGAGAAAACAAAGCCTCATCCAAATCCCAAACGCCTAAAAAAAGCCGGTTGGAATGTTGCAAAAAGAGAAGTTTTGATAATTTCAGAAATTTCCTGAGATGCACACATCTTAAAACCCGGCGTCTCAAGCGCCATTGGTAGCTTCCGAAATTTCCTGAGATTTCATGTATCTTAGTTCACTGTGGGGCCAAGAGAACGAGGGGCAATGAGACCTGAAAAAAGCGAGGAGAGGGATCGTCCTACCTGAACTTCTTGGAGGAGATATTCAAGTTCAGCTATTATATCAGAGAAGGAAGGCCGATTGGAAGGATCTGCATCCCAACATTTCTGCATTAATTCCAACAGCTTTGGGTGTCCAGTACTGGGAAGATCCGGTCTCAGTCCCTGGGAAATAGAATGTCAAGCAAAACTTTTAGGCACCAATTCATATAAACTATTATGTTGAGCCAAAAGCTTAAACCAGTTGGTATTTATTGTTTGACTGACTATCAAGGGCATTACTTATGCCTTTTTTTTTTTTTTTTAAAAGAGATACTTGTGCCTATTTTAAATAAGCAACAAAAGTTGCATCTGATACTACAGAAATTTGATACTCTCTGGTTCTGATCCTTTTCTTACATTTCGTTAGTTTGAATAAGAGGAAATTCAAACCCTAGGGTTTAGAAATCATGATAGTAGACACATCATCAAGTCAAAACTTTCGTATCATGTAGAATTGCCAAAATCTGCAATATGCAGACATGGCTGTCAACAGGACAAATACTAGAGAGCGAGATTTAGAATCACGTTGCATGAACTGTTAGGATTAAAAGGATTTCCTAAGCAGAAAGTAAGATGTGGGCATATCTCTATAAGGTCACCATCCTAAATTGTGATCCTTAATTTCCAAAAGAGGGAAGGGAATGAAATCGAATTGAACATTCATGAGCAATTGGAAAAGAAAGTGAAATGCATTATGGACAAACAAATCAACATTTAGGATGGTTAGGGGGAAAATGAAGAGGCAACGACAACCATGTCAAGTGTTTCTACAGAACATATTCAATTAAAACCTCATATAGTTCATAATCAGATATTTGACACTGAGACAATGCCAAAGTTCAACAACCGTGCTGTCGCAAATTATGTGTGTGCATGCACACGCACAAAGAAAACATATCTATACATGAATAAATGTAAACCTGTCTAACTCCCAAGGCAGCTTGCAACGGAGTCATGGTATCATATGGAACCTGCAATAGCAAGATCATACACAATTTGAAAATAACTTCCACATCCTCACACACGATATATATATAAGTTGAGCTTTTTGTAACATTAGAGCATACTTTGGCTGTTACTAGCTCCCAAAGTACAATTGCAAAACTGAACACATCTGCTTTCTGATCATATGGTTGATGATTGATAACCTTGCAAAATGCAAGAAAGCAATGACATGTTGAAATGAGAATGTAATTAATGTTGTGGAACTTGGTGCATTATCTAAAGATAATGAAGCACTAACAGTAAAGTGTGCTGAGAAAACAAGACCAGAATGTCAACATCTCAAGAACAAAAATGGAAATTCAATAAACCATAACCTGCTTCTCAAACAACGGGGTTATGATATGGCTGGTTGCTGGCATTTCTTAATGATGAACTAATTATTCATAGATCACATCACCAGATCAATTTAAGAAATAAAAGTCCATGAAAAAAACGATGGGAAAGGATATATTTTTTTTCAACCAAGTCCAACGATTTAAGATTTGACATTAATTTTCAAGAAGACACTCTCAAGAATTTACATACAATCACTGATCTCCTATGGATTAAAAGCTTGAAAAAGGAAAAATGAAGGGAAAATGAACCAGAATAATCAAACAAACCTCTGGTGCCATCCATCTGTAGGTTCCAGTCTCTGCTGTCATTACTCCCTCTTGATTTTGGAACCGAGCAACACCAAAATCTGCCACCTTTACAACCTAAAGGCAAATAAGAAAATGATTTTTCAACGGTAAAAGGATCAAGAACATTTCCTGAACCGAATGAGAAAATTGCCAAGATACGAGAGCAGAGAGTCGAACACTTATACAAAGAAATCTAACCAGAAAACAGTTTACCCATTATCATAAACAAAAACATGTTGACGTTTAACATTGAACTTTAGTTTTAGTTATTAAAAATATTAAGATACTTGTTGAAAGTATAATTACACTACTAGACATCTTGAAGCCCATTATCTAATTACTTCATCATTCATGAAATCTTGAAGGTATCAGTTTAACCATTAATTTAAATTTAAAGACATCAAATCCAGCTCCTGATTGAAGAACGTTTAAACTCCTCCTTCATGCAATCAAACTTCACACCTCAAAGCACAATGCATGCAGAGGGGTTTATTCCAAAATCCTCAACCCAATCAAACTATTACCCCATATAAAGAAATGGTTAGGTTACTCCAGTCGGTCCATAACCACAAGTTATATCAACTAGAGCTGCAATACATCCCCTGAGAATGCTATAGCCATTATTAAAAAATGACATATAAATCTCGTGAACTTTATTGTTTCCCTGTCGGCTAATTAAGCATAAACATAGCACACAAACAAATTAAAGAAATATAGTAGTCATGAATACCACACTTTAATATTGGTAGACTAATTTACCACCAATAGTCAAGATAAAACTTGTATTTACTTCAGACCAAAAAAGAGACTTGTAATAACTTCTCTAAGATAATATATTAAACAGGTAAAATTATTTTTCCCCACGGGATATGGAGAAATTGAACCAAATCTTATCTTGAATGAGGTTGAAGGGAACTGTTAGAGATCCACGAAATTCTCAAAAGTTCTTTACTAAAGAGCTATTTGACATAAATTTTATGGGACGAGTCATAAATCATATAAAATGTGAGATCCATCTCAAGAAAATGAAAAATGTATGGTAATAACCTCCCATTTCAATTTCAAAATGGATAACATACATTAGTAAAGAAAGAAACTATTCTTCTTAAACATTAAAAGCTGAAATGCAAAAATGAAAAAGAAGATAATACAATGACTTCTTAGCCCCTTAGTAATTCAAAGCCCTAGATTTTTTTTTTCTTCTTTTAAGGATGAGGAGATGGAAGTCAGAAGACCAAAAATTGACAGGACCAGATAGGGATAATGAAGTAATACAGCACACTAACAAACACGCTACCCTCCAAAAGCCTAGGAAGTTTTACATTTGTAAAACCTTCCTAATTCAAAGGACCACATGACTGATTCAAAGCCCTCGAGTATGAGAAACGTGACTTTAGTACCTGAGTGGGATAACAACCTCTCCTATAATTCAAGAAAAGCCAAGGGCTATGACATACATGATTCAGTAAATTAATTGCTCTTTCTCGGAGCATTATAACATTGCTAAGAATTCATACATGGGAAAACCAATTCTTCAAAACACTAGTTCTGATTTACAAGTTAATATGCTGTCATTTCGCCCAAAACCTAGAAAATTTGAACTATTTACATATCAGCAAAACCTTAACCATTGTGCATTTATTCATAAGTGAAGCTGCAAAACAAGCAAAACAATAACCTTTAGTTCTTACGTTGTTAGTGTCCATTAGCAGATTTGCTGTCTTCAGATCCCTATGAATTATGTTTTTATGATGCAAATACTCCATTCCTTTGCAGACATCAATTGCAAACTTTAACAGTTCTGAAAGCTTCAAGACATTATGATTCTTGTGCAAATAATCATAGAGACTTCCACCGGGCATATACTCTGCAAGTAAAAACAGTAACAAATGAATTTTCATAATTTTTATCATAAGAAAGGAAGAAAAAGAACCAACAGGATGGAAAATGGAAAGAAAACTTCCAGTAGTTAGAAGTAGAGTCAATTAACTACTTAGTACATGTAGTCTGGAAACATAAGACAACTCCAAAAACAAATGTATAATATATGCATAAGAAATATGAGTTTAGAGCGCCTGGGCATAATGTAGATGATTTTCATATAACTAACATTCCCCAAGCCACAGAACCATTTTAACTTCATCGGGAAATCAATGACTAAGTTCAACATGATAACTGGATCAACTCAAGGAAAGAATTGCTTCACACAACCATGGAAAACGAAGCTACAAATGTCCTAAACCAAATAGACTACTGCAGGCGGGAATCTACCCCAGCTCATGGTGGCATTTTAACTTAATCTGGTAAGGAATGACTACTATTAACACTGATAACTGGACCAACTTTCTCAAAAAGAAGATGGAGACCCAAAATCAGCCACAGCCACAGCCATAGGTTAGTTTGGTGATCCAACCTCTTTAGATTTATAACTTATTAGTTTATCCTCAATGAAATGGCCTCCGGATCCTGTTTACATTCTCACTGAAATGGCTGCTTTGACTATATGAATATACAAAAAATAAAAAAGAGACAAACGAACAACCAAAGCTGTATTCACAACATAATCTTTTAGCACTAACACAAATTATTTATGGACATAAAACAAACAAGTGAAATGCATGGTTTTTGTTGCCTGAACATCATGAAAGAGCTTCTCACATTAGAGCTCAGTCCTCATGAAATTACTATATTTAATTTATTTTTTAATAGAAACATACTTTCATTAATAGAAAAAGAACAGTACAATACAGGGGACAAGTGGTCCACTGGACTAATTATACTCATCTACAGATCTAAACATCAAAATATTGCATGAAAGCAAACAAGATGAAAACGAAAAATAAGCCGCATTCCAATCATAAAAGATACCCTGAAAAGAACCATCCCTAAAATCTGAAGATACCAATGCCAAAGGAAAACCCAAAAACGAACTCCATCCCACGAATGATCCACCTCCTCATCCCTTGCTCTCCCAAATATCCTTCTATTCCTAATTCCCCATGAAGCTCCATAACATACAAGTTACAACAAGATGCAAAGGCTATATTGTAATTACACTTATTTAGGAGCTCCAAAAGGCATCCAAACAGTTTAGAGGAAGTAGAATACAGAACACACAAGAAAAAGTCTCCTTGAATGCTGCATACTTAAAGAAGAAATTTTAGCTCGGTTACAATAAGATTTCTGAAAAGTTAAAAATGAAATTTATGGTCGGCTCCGCTTATATTAGTGGAAATACTCATGAAACTTTCTCGCTTTATAATCATGTAAATTACACAAATACTAGGTTTCACTAATGGAATATACTAGGTTTCACTTAAAAAATGAACAAAAAAGAAAGTACACCTGATGCCTATTCTGCTTATCTTAGTTACACTGCTTGTGAGAACATCTCCATGTGTAAGATTTTGATACAGAATGAATAAACCATGAAAGAAGCTAACTTAAATTTATAGTAAATGCGGGAGAAAACCAATTAGAAAATTGCATACCTGTCACTATGCACAAATGTGGAGACTTCGTACATGCCCCGATAAAGCACACAACATTCCTATGATGGACCTTTCTGCAATCACAAAACGAATATATATATAGATATAGATATATCAGCATTTAAGAATGAGTATACAGTATCTTGGCATTTTATTTTGAAATGACTTCATAGCAATAAGCATGCGAACTTACAGTCCCATTCTCCTGGTCCATGGGGACCAGGGAGTTTCTTGGGCAACTGCAGTTGGATTAAATCCATGGACAACAGTCTAAACAATAAACTCAATTTATTATTTTTTTAATATTATTTTTTTCAGTAAAAAAATCTTTAAAGCAATCTTGAAAAAGGAAACTTGCACTTTTCTCACGCAATCACGCGTTTTTTTCTAAATTCCAATTCATCCCCTCCAAATTCCAGACTCTCCTTTTTTTTTTTTTTGAGAAGAAACGAAATTTATAAAGCAAAAGACAACACAAAAAGAAACAAACAACACCAACCTCTCCCAAACTAACAGGGAGGAACAAAGCCAAAAAACCACTGAAACAACACACCCCCCAACCCTCACATAACCACTGCTACCATATCCCTCAAAATAGTAGAAACAGAATAATCTTTAAAATCTTCAGTAACAGAAGCCCACAAAGCTGCCCAGTACTTAACTCTATCCCACAAATCACTCACTCCCACTCCCTTGTAGTCTTCAAAAATTCTCCTATTACGCTCCATCCAAATGTTCCAGAAAACAGAGTGAACCAGACAGCCCCACAAGGTTGAGGCGCGCTTCCCCGAACCCCACACCTCAAAATCAGAACAAAGGAAATCAGCGCACCCTTTCGGAATCACCCAAACGGTCCCAACCTCCCTCCACAAAAGCCCCAAAAGACTTGAGGAAAAGGGGCAATGTAAGAAAAGGTGGTCCACACTCTCCTCACCAAGCTTACATAACACACACCACTGAGGAGACAAATACATGAAAGGTCTTTTCCTTTGGACAAGATCCGAAGTGTTAACTTTCCCAAGCGCCACCAACCAAACAAATACTTTGACCTTAGGGGGGGACTTGGCCTTCTACACACTAGAGAAAGGAAGAAAGGTCACAACACTCCCCTTGTTGCGTAAGAAGGATTGAAAGGACTTGCAGGTGAAAAAACCCGACACCTCAAGATCCCACCATCTCCTATCCCTTTTAGAAACACACAATCTGAAACCTTCCAGAACTTCCAGCAATTTAATCACCTCGGCAGTCTCCCTATCATTTAGATTTCTCCTAAACCCAAAGTCCCAATTATGAGGAAAAATGTGAGAATCAACAAAACGGTCAATGCTTAAGGACTGCTTTGAAGACAACGCAAACAAGTGCGGAAAAGAGTCCTTCAACAACCCCTCCTTCACCCAACTATCCTCCCAAAACCTTACCCTATTCCCATTTCCCACCTCAAATCTGCAGCACTGTAAAAAGGATTGATAACCTGCCGAAATATCCTTCTGAGAGAAGTAACCGAAGTGGCGGGAATAGCATCCCACCCATTAGAAGCTGACCCATACTTACTTTTAACCACCCTAGCCCATAGGGAATTAGGTTCCCTAGGAAGGCGCCATAACCATTTAGCTCGCAAAGCTTCGTTCTTTTCCCTCAAAGAACCCACACCAAGCCCACCTTCCTCCTTAGAATTGGCCACCCTCTCCCATTTAACCAAATGGTCCCTCTTTCCTTCCTCCACTCCTTCCCAAAGAAAGGATCTCATAAGCTTCTCCAATTTATTAATAACACTGAACGGCATTTTAAACAACGACATATAATAAGTAGGAATGCTACTCAACACAGCTTGAATCAACGTTAACCTTCCCCCTCTAGAGAGAAACGCTCTTTTCCACTTTTGAAGTCTCCTTTGAACCTTCTCGAGCACCGGATCCCAAAAACCAATAGATCTAGGATTACCACCGAGAGGGAGACCCAAGTACATCATAGGCCAGTCCCCCACAGCACACCCCCAACCACTAGCTAGACTATTGATGAAAGAAGGGCTATGCCCAAACCCCACAAGAGAACACTTAGATTTCTTGATTTTCATGCTGGAAATAAGGCAGAAAAAATCCAATAAATCCAACAGGTTAAACCAGTATTCGCCTATAAGCCCATTGTTTTCTTTAACAAGGTTTCTCTAACAATGTTCTTTACTATTCACCCAGTTTTCACAGAGCAGCACATGTGCATCTGGTGTGAAAATTTCCTTTTCTTCTAGCAATGGTGCAAAACCAGATGGGGGAATTCAAATGGAGAGACCTCTCTCCCAAGTGTGATCAAGAATGGAAAAGTTTAAATGCAAAAATTGATAAGGACGCCAAAATACAGAACAGAGAAATGTGAAATTTTCGAAGGGTTCAAAATGGAGAAGAATTGTTAAGCTTGAAGAAGAGGGAAGTAAGATACCAACTTGGATAAGAGAATTGAAGGAGAAAAAAATTCTACCAATTTGGGAGGCGTACTGATGATAAAGTCCTTTCAGTTTTCTTTTTGAAAAATTGCTTTAAAAATTACTTCTCAAAAAAAAAAAATGAAATTAAAAACTTTAAACTGAGTTTATTATTTAGACTGCTGTCTACCGTTGGATTTAATCCAACAGCAGTTGCCCAATAAACTCACTGTGGACCAGGAGAACGGGACAACCTAAAATAGAATAACAGACTATGACAAACTAGAAACAACAACAACAAAAAAAAAAAAAAAACACTTACGGGCTTTTATAATTGAAAATAAAGGACTGCAAAGGAAATAATTCTGCTTTTACGGGAAACAATTTCAGAACTCCATACTTTATGTGGCTACAATAGACCATGAGATATAGTTGAAATTAAAAGAGTAAAAGCGCAAAGAGATTGACATGGTTTTGACCCACAGATATTAGTGAGAGAGCTCCTGTGCTGCCCCCAATGAATTGTTTAGATCCTCATATACTGTAGCATAAGAAACTTGTACTCGGAAGATCCATGTAGATGCATGACTTATTAGAGATCAAGGTGAAACAAATGATATGCACAGTGAAAACCATGTGGATTTTAATATATTCAGATTATTCATGATGTAAGAGAAATATTATCTTCAAGCAAGGAATTTATTTGCAAACTCTATAGTCGGTTAAAATGTGGAGTTGTTTACAAGGAGGCGGAAAGGGGAAGACACCTAGACAATATAGGAATTGTTCTTGTCCACAATATAGAGCAGCATGCAAAATATGACCAAAAAACTGATAAAATTTGAAGGCTTCCATTAGGCTACTAGAATTAGTGCTAGATAATTTTTGTCTTTTATTGTGATTTGACTTTCTCTTCTGCGTAACGTGTAATTTCCTTTTGCAATTAACAAACTCACGGCCTTCAAAAATAATTTGTACTAAGCAGTGAGCACCCAAGTTCAAGTAAAGGAAAATAAATCATAGTAAACGAAAGCATGCATGGAAGTCTATCTTAAACCAGAGTAACTTCTACCAACAATGAGTTGACAGCTGTGAACATGTCATGCCAAATTTCATGCTGGGTAATATCATGAGTCACAATTAGATACATAGGCTAAAAAATAGAGACCACAAAAAACATGATTTCTTTAAGCTTGAAAAGGCAGCCAAACCCTGCAAAAACCTACTTCCAGGACCTTAATGTCCTTAGCGATTGGGAAGAACAAATAAACTATAACCTTCCAAAATCCCTTCCTATCCATATTGCACTTGTACCAACTTTTTACCAGAATTAGGACAGAAAATTTTAGAATTGTTATATCCTTTCCACCATAAGCTAAATTCACCAGGAGAATTGTAGGAAATAATGGGAAAATGTTTAAAAATTTACTAGTGGAGAGGAGACCCCAACAGATCAGGTAAAGAGTGATTTCATGTGAATTCCCTAACAGAAACCAATATTAAAATAACAATCAAAACTAGAAAGTGGTTCACCTCAGAATTGCCACTTCTTGAGCAAACTCATCCTCTAGAGCATCATTCAAATGCTCCGACCTCAGTATCTTAACCGCAACATCTTGACCAAGATAAATTCCACGGTA